TGCCGTCATAACGTCTAACTTGCCGCACATCCTCTGTGGCAGCAGGCCAGGAATTGTTTTCTGAGTGAATTTATGAGGGCAACTGCTCGTCAAGTGGGGGGTGATCATATTAAGGGCAAAACTGTACTTTAACAAAAATCCAACCCCAAAGAAATATGAGATCTATTACCATAAATATAAAGCTAATGCATATAAAACATTCTTTTATACGGTTTTCAGGTATTCTGTCTTGTTTTTTCAGTGGAATAAAAGTGACATGAAAGAAAAGGTACAACTGAAATGCCATTACAACAAAATCCAGGACATACCAAAATTAACATAAATATTTTCAGATGACACAACTCTAGTCTTTCAGAGCTGAAGGTGAAAAGATAATGGCTCCTAAACCCCACTAAAATGTCAGAAAATATCTTTTTCTCCCCTTTGAGTTCTTATTTTTGTTGTTTAAAGAATAAATCCAGATGGACAGGGAAAGGGGAGGAGGACCAGCAACCTGCTGCTGAGAGGCGGAATGGGCAGGGCAGAGGGGTGGGCAGAGGAATGGGGGGGACATGGGATCGAGGCAAGCAGTGGGAACAGCCAGTTTACACCTAGAAAGGGTCAGAATAATAGTAGTTCCAAAACGAGGGAAAATAGAAAATGCAGGGGCAGGGGAGGATTACCAAAGAATAATTGAAGAAAATTCCCAAACTGAAAAGTAAGTGTTTCTGGGTTGCAAGGACACAAAAATACCCAACATGCTGGATAAAATGGCCTAGCACTGTGGATTTCTGAATACTGGGGATGTATTAGTCAAGGCTTTGTTAAACCACAGCAACAGGCAATGCAAAAACCCTCAGAAGCTTAAAACAACACAGATTTATGTATTCTAAGTTTTTTCAACTGAATGGGGTGGACAGGAGGGGGCCTCTGCACCATGAGCACCACCACCTTGAACACAGCTGGTTACCAAACCAAAGGGAAAGAAAATCCCGGCAGCAACTGACATTTGCAGCTAAATGCAGGGCCCAGGTGTGAAATGCGGCTCTTCTGCTCAGTTCCTGGGCAGGCAGTAGGCACAGCCTTGGGCAGTGTCTACTGAGGCCACCAAGCAGGAGGGATGAGGAAGGACAGTCCTGCCTCAGCCAGGGGCAGAGGGCCTGGAATGCGTAAACACTACCAGGGGCAAAAAGAAGATCCTACAATCTTCCAGAAGGAAAAGGACTGGCTTGAAGCTCTTCGACAATACTGGAAACCAGAAAGGAATGGATCAATGCCTTAAGAACTCTGAAGGAACGTTTTTTCTAGAATTCTACATTATCAATCTATCAAGTATAAAGGCAGAAAAGACACTTATGGACAAAGCCTTGAAATTCACCTCCTGCCACATCCAAACCAGAGAGTGAAACAAGAAAAGAGGAAATCAGGAAATGGGAGCCCTGCACTGAGCAGCCCAAAAGGAGGGGACTGAGGCTGGGGCGGTTCCTAGGCACATGGGCCAGGTACAGAAGGCTCCAGGGGCCCCACTTCCTGACGGTGTGCTGACAGTGGGGGCGTCCTATGCTAATTGACACCTTGGGGCAAGAGCAGACAACTCATAAAGTGTCTGGAGTTGGATCCATCATCACACATAAAAAGTAAAGCAAATTAACAAGCCAGCCAATTATTACCTCCAGAGAAAACAAAAAGTAACGTGTGACATGACTCACTTTGAATATCATTTACACAGTCATACTGGTTAACACTCGATGTTGTTCTCAAGATAACACCACATCTACACGGGGATGGTGAGCATGTGTGGGGAGAAGAAAGAGAATAAACAAATATCTTGCAAAGAACAAAGTCACTAGGTAATATCTACAACTGAAAAATCAGGAAGCAGATGATTCAGCAACACAAAAATAAATATCAAAACAATCAGCTAAAAGAAGTGACGTGCTTGTTTCTGGGTAGGCGGGAATAATGGCAGGGGATATTGTTTAACCTAACAAACCCTGCAGAGGCTATTTGCCTATAAACTCTGCAGAAAATATCTAACCTTTTAAACTACATGTGTATTAAATAACAAAAACACTAAAGGTAATTCAAGCTGAGTCTCTGCCTAGGAACTACCTAGGAGGTTGGCATGATTTTTGATTCACTACAACCGAGCTGTTCCAATGAGCTATTAGCACTGCTTTAAGTGCTATGATGGGCTGAAACACCTAAGACAATCCTTGTCCTCAGGAGTGGGAATTTCATTGAGGCGGGGAAAAACATATGCATGGAAAAGAACTCAACTGCAATGCAAGCTGGCATATGGTCACCGCTCAAGACATGGTGCAGAAGAGTTATGTAGTAACAAGGAGGGAGACTCCGGTCCCGAGTAGGCAACAAAGACTTTAGGAAAGATGAAAGGAGTAGAATGAGAAACACTAACAGAACTTGAGGAAAAGGGAGGGCACTGCTAGAAGGCAGGCTGGCTAACAGTGATGGTGGGTGTAATTTGGGAGTATGGACAGTTTTTTCACAGGTGAGATTTTACTGGTAACAGGGAGGGCAAGGTTATTATCAGGAAAAGCAGAGATTAGAAATCACAGGTGTCACTATTGAGAGACTTCATTTTCAGCTCCTTGGATGCTATCAATCAGAAACCCTGTAACATTTTTTCCTGCAAAGTAGCTCAGACTTAATATACCTGCTCATTATTAACACTGCCTCCAACCTAGTCTTAAACCATGCTGAAATCACCCATTTCGTGGGCTGCCAGCTCTAGCCCGTCTGCCCAGGGCAGCTTCATCACTGTACTGTCTTCACACTCCAACGACACTACCCCTCCTTGCCCTACTAGAATCGTCCCTGCTCTTGGCTGCCGGAGCACCTCTGCACACACTGTTCCTTCCGGACCGTGTTCCCTACTATGCACCCCCTGTTAACTCCTAGACACCCTTCCATTCCCAGCTTACTCCCTGATTGCTCTCACTCAGGATCAGCAGTCCCTGTCACAAGCTCTCACACATTCCTTTTCTCATACCAGTTTGTAATTTACCCTTCATTTGGATGATCATTCAATTCATGCCCACCTCACTCTCTTGGCCAGTGGCTCACAAAGTTGGGTCCCAGACCACATCAGTACCATCATCACAGGAGAACCTATTAGAAATACAGATTCTCAAGCCACATCCAAGACCTACTGAATCAGAAACTTGAGGTGGAAGGCAGCGATCTGTGTTTAAAAAAAAAAAAAAAAAAAAACTCCAGGTGTTTCTGATGCACATACTCAAGCCTGAGAGCCACTGCGCTAGATTATGCAGTTAATGGCACAGACCAGGTGTTTTCATACCCCATGGTGTCACCTGCTGCCAAGTTCAGCAACAAACAACAGTAAGGTAAGATTTCCTGATTGAATGAATAATTGGTGAAAACTTTCCATGGCTCCATAAATCCCCTCCCTTATTAATTCTAAACCCCCATGAATAACTTCAGAATCCCCCAAAATCAATACTGAATGTCCATCCAAAGACCTGGGTTCTAGCCCCAGCTCCCAGGCTGTTCTAGGTTCAGACTTTGGCATTCCATCGCTTACCATGTGTGATCATCCATAAACTTCCCAATCTCTCTGGGCCTTAATTTCCTCACCTCTAAAATGGGAATAATTATGGCACCTATTTCCTAGGATTGAGATAATTAATGAGACAACGGCACTAAGAATCATGACTACACATACACGGTTAAGCACTTAACAAACTTAGGTATTATTATTGTCATAATAATAAAGAAAACTTAAACTTTAAGTAGTCTTTCCTCTTGAGTCCCAGCTTTCTTACTCAAGATGGACCACACACACGTCAGGCTAGCTCTCCCTCCCTTACAAAACTACTCATATCTAACACCCATAGCAGGCCTGAAACCTTCCCTAGGAACCTAGAGTCCTGCTACAGCTTTCCCGGCTCCACCTCCTGAACAGCTGGGCTGGAGCAGACAGACTTGGTTGTACTCACACTTGTCTTCCTAGAGCTCAAATGAAGTCACTTCAGTTAAGTGAAGTCCCCACTTAACTCGGCAATCAGATCTTGGTAACTCAACCGGTTAGGAGGTGGTTTCATTTCAGTATGTACCTGTCTGGGTGGCTAGGATTCAAACGGAGCTCACACAGGGAGCCTAGTTCTACTCCAATTTTGGTACTCGGTAAAGCATTAATAGCAGCAATTAAAATTTACTCCCATCGAATAGATCTTAAAAATAAAAAGGATGGTTTCTCCCTTCCCTAAGAAGCAGAGGGTCCACCACCTGCCTGCCAAGTGCCCCTCTTACCCTGTCTCCAGGCAGCAGGCTGTGTGTGAGAGATGACAGAAACGCGAACTGCACACAGCAAAACCACGGGCACGCCCCGCTCGGTCACCAAGGTGTGCCTCCCTGCTGGGCCTGGGGGGACACCTGGCATGGGGTGCCCTTTCGCCCGGACATCCGCTAGGGCCGGCAACGCTTGGTTCCCCAAGAGTTAAATGCTGAGTAATTTTCCTGAGGAGCAAGCAGTGGGAGCGGGGGCTCTGCCAATGGCAACAGTATTTTTATCCTACTTAAACCAACACGGCGGCGCGGCCGCGGGTGTCCCCAAGGGTGTCCCCGCGCGGCACGCTCCGGAATCGCCGGCCGGGACCCTCGCTGGCTTCCAGGACGACGTGGACAGCAGCGCTGCCGCCGAGTTCCACGCGACCGGGCAGGGGGCCGCGGGATCAGCCGAGGACGGCTGCGCCTTGGCCGTGCGGGCCCGGCGGTCACCGCACCCGGGCAAGGGCCGCTCCGCCGGGCCGCCCGCTCTCCGCGCCCGGGCCTAAGCGGTAGAGGGTCTGAGCCCAAGTTGGCCGGTTGCTTCGCTGCAAGAGTGGAAAGGGGTGCGAGCAGGAAGCGCACGTCCCGGCCGGGCATGGAGGGACACGGGGCTGCTGGGCCGACCCGGGGCCCCGACTGCCCGCCGCCCGGCCCGCCGCGGCGCGGGGGAATGAATGGGGCTCCCTAGCCGGTCGCGGGCGCGCACTCACAAGCGACGTAGGCGAACAGGGCGATGCCCAGCAGCAGCTTCATCCTCCTGCGGTTGACGGCAGACACGAGGCGCAGTAGCGCCTTGCTCACCATCCCCGGGAGCCGCGCCGGTCCAGTTCCCTGCCGCGCGGCGGCCCGCCTGCTGCACAATGCGCCGCGGCGGCGGCCGGGACAGCCCCGCCCCCTGCCGCCCGCGCGAGCTCGCCCCCGCGCACCAGGCTTCCTGCCGGTGGGAGCACTGCGCACGCGCAACCCCGCCCCCACCTTCGGCTCCGCCCCCACCCCGCGCCCCGCTCCGTGCCTCCTCTCCCCGCAGGCGCAGTTGCTGCCGCGCGCGCCTCGGTTTTCGAAGAATGTGGCCGAGAGGGCTGGCGGGGTGGGCGCGGCGCATGCGCGTCCCGGCGTGTTTTCCCAGGGCGCGAAGGTGCGTCCCGCTGAGGTGTGTCCCCATCCCGGAGCGCTTCCTCGGGCAACGAGCTTCTGAACCGCCGGCGCACGCGGTGGGCGCTGCAGTGGTGCCGTGGAACAAAACACGTACTTCTGCTGAGCTTGGCCGTATCTTTGAAGTTCTTTGAATGCCTCCTTCAGAAAGCTGGCTGTTCTCTGGGTTGTTTTGTTGGCTTCTTTAGTTCGAATAGCGGCAGCCAAAATGATAAATCCCCTGAACGTTGCCAGAGTCAAAAGCGGCTGCATTTTTTTTCTCTATTGTGATCAACTGGGGTGTCTTTATTTTAAAAATAAAGGGTCTTTTATTATTATAAAAAAAATGCTAATCGCGTAAATTTAGGATAAACTAGGAACAGGAATGTAGAAATCGGACTCTCTGCCTAGAGAAAAACCGTGAACGTTTCATCGTGTGTACTTCATTCCAATCTTTTAGCTGAGTGTTATCTATTTTAACATAGTTATAGGGATGAATTGTGTTGCTGTATTGATTGCATAGGAGTTATCTGAATTTATTTCTTCCATGAGCATTTATTGGATGCCTACTAAAAGCAAGGAAGTGTGTCCAAGGATCCACAGATACCAGAAACTTATCACTGGGTCCACAGAGAGCTGGTCCAGAGAGGAGAAAAGACAGGTACACACAGATCTGATCTGAGTGATGCCAAGTCAACAGAGACCCCTTGAAGTGTTTGGGAGCTATAGGATACAGGTGCTGATCTTCAGCCACGGTGAGAAATTGGAGCCTGGAGCGGCATTGCTAAACTCAATGGAATACCTTCTTTAGAAATCTCCGAGAATATTAATTATCATAACTAGGAATAAATCAAAGCCGTACTGTATCTTTAAAAGTACACAGCACAAATGCTGTGATTTTCTGATAGCACCTGATCCCAACCCACCCCTCCCGATAAATGTAGGGAGAATAGTTGAATAGAAGGTAACAGCTGAGCAGTTTCACTGAGGACAGAGCTTTACGTGCTGCTCACAACTGGAGTGGCCCTCCTTCCAGAAACCCAGCTCCCTGTCTGTGAAGTATCCAAGGAGGCTGCCAGGTGACAAAACACCTGGCATGGGAGCCAGAGGCTGGAGTTTCCAGAGGGGCCAGACCCCCAGAGCAAACTGGTTTGGAATAAATTGATTTTTGTCTCTCAGTCTTAATTTCCTTATCCTTCACATTTTGGGTTTAGGTTATGTCCATGATTTTTGAAAAGAGAAGTACCTACCTAGAGCAAATGAGGCTCTGAGTTCTTCCCATGCTATGACTCCATGGATTTTAGATTAAAGGTGAGGAGCAGAGATGGAAGAAAAATTTTGTTGACATTTGACCTACCACCAAAATCAAAAGCTTCTAGGCAGATTTCAAATATATTAGGTTGTAGGTGGGATTTAGTTGATAAGTATCTTATCAATTTAAGAAGATCAAAAATTGTGGAGTATTTGCTATTTTTGTACAAAATTCCTTAAGCCCAGAATTCCTAGTTGAGTGTTTTTTCTGCCACCAAACACTATTGCCAACTTCTTCTACCCCGTTGGATTAACTATGTGGAAATACTATTAGCAGCTGCAGTTGAAGTAGCTGCTGCTCTCATTATTGCCACCCAGAAGGCAGTTGGTGTCCCAAGACCCTGATTTTCAGCTCTACCACAGCCAGAATTGGGCAATAAGCTATAGTGAGTGTATACCTAGTGAAGGAAAGAAGGCCTAAGGGAAAGGAGATGCCCCAGAAGCCCTCCCAGCTCTACTGGGGACCTTGGGTGGCACAGGCAGCACACTTTCCTGTGCTCTTTGCAGCCCTTGTCTCTTCCCAGCCTGTCCCCACATCCCCAGTAGGTTCTGGGCTCATCACCCTCCCCCTACCAACTCTCTCATTCTTCCAATGGCTATGTTAACAACAATATTTTTAAGCAATTATTATACAAGGCAGTGTTCTTGACACTTAGAGTAATTAAAAAATGAATCATAATATGGCTTCTCTCCTAGAGTGTTCAGAGCCTAAGGAAGGGAGAAAACTAACATTTATTAAACCTCTGCAGTGTGCCAGGACTGTTATGCAAGACGCTTTCACTGTTATTTAATTCTTGTAACAGCCCTGTGGGGCGGGGTTGCTGTTGTTGCTACTGTCTTTTTGTTTAAAATTTTTAAAAATAATTTTTGCATTGGCAAATAGAAATTACATATATTTATGATGTACACTATGGTGTTTTAATATATGTATATATTATGGAATGGCTAAAACCAGTAATTAACATATGCATTATAACACATACTTATTTTTTGTGGCGAGAACATTTAAAAATCTGTCTTCATAATATTCAAATTTATAATACATTATTATTAACTATAGTTGTACGATGAATCTCTTGAATTAATTCCTTCTAACTGACATTTTGTACCCTTTGACCAACATCTCCCCAATCCCTCCACCCCTGCCCCCAGCCTCTGCTAACCACCATTCAACTCTCTGCTTCTGAGTTGGTCTCTTTTAGATTCCACATGTGAGATCACATGGCGTTTGTCTTTCTGTGCCTGGCTTATTTCACAAAACATAATGTCTTCCAGGTTCATTCATGTTGTCTCAAATGACAGAATTTCCTTCTTTTTAAAGGCTAAATAATATTCCATTTATGTACCACATTTTCTTTATCCATGCATCTGTTGATAGACGTTTAGGTTGCTTCCACATTTTTGCTATTGTGAATAATGCTGCTATGAACATGGGAATGCAAATATCTCTTTGAGACCCTGCTTTCAGTTCTTTTGGGTATATATCCAGAAGTGGAATTGGTGGGTCATATGGTAGTTCTATGTTTAATTTTTTTAAGAACCTCCATACCGTTTTCCTTAATGGCTACACTAATTTATATTGCTGCTGTCATCAATAGATGAGAAAACTGAAGCTCTGAGCATTTGATAAGTGTCCAAACACTTGGTAAGTAATAGGATTACTAGTTACTTGGTTTGGTAAGTGACAAGGCTACCAGTCACATAGTCATGGAGACAGGGCTGGGCTTTTAAGCCACACCTTCCCCTGTATAAGGACACTTTTCTGTGGGAGAGTGGAGACTTGCACAGAAATGACTATTATTCATGGCACAATGTGATGAGTGCTCAGAGTTGGACAGGGTCGGGTGAATGGCTAAGAATTTAACAAGAGGGAGACGTGCTTCCAGGCTATGAAGTGTGGTTTGCCTTGCTGGAACCAGCCAGTACGGGCTCACAAGAGCTGACTGTTAGCAGCTCTTCCTCTGGGAGTGTTTACACCATGGAAATGAGCAGTTGCTGCAAATCAGGGATTTCTTTTCTAAAAAACCAGCACTGTTCCAGGTAAGAACAGTGAGACAGAGAAAGCTTTGCAGAGAAGTTGCTCGATGAGCTGAATTCGAATGGATGTAGTATAGGATTTTGACTCATACGCATTGGGCGAGGGCATCCTTTAGGAAATAACGAAGGCCAGGTTTCTGGGGAGCACAGGCTTTGATAGGGAATGGTGGAGGTCTTTGTTTGGCTCACCAGTAATCTTATCCTCCATCTGCACTTTTGAACTCTGTTCTGAGCTCTGCTGGGCCTGAAGCATGCACACTGCATCTTCCAGGCTTCCTGTTTGGTTCTGCCAAGAGGAGTCATTGGTGAAACATCAATGGGTAGAAGAGAGATGCTTCTGCATCTGGCTCTTCCAGGGTGGCCATTGCTAATGGCTCCTAGAATTTGCTGGCATTTGCTGTAGCTGTGGCAAAGCTGGGGTGATTCTGGATTCCAGCAGCCCCGAGGGAGACATGATCTTTCCTAAACATCCACCTGCTATAATCAAGGCCTGTCTTCTGAGCTTGTCCACAGCTCACCATGCACAGGCATTCACAGCTTCTGGTGGCTGGGGATTGCCCCTTTCTTTTTTGTTCTACCATATTCTTTATTCTCCCTTTGGCACTTCTTCTTCTTCTTCTTGTTTTTTTAAGAAATGGAGTCTTGCTATGTAGCCAAGGCTGGTCTCAAACTCCTGGCCTCAAGCAATCCTCCCGTGCCTCAGCCTCCCAAAGTGCTAGGATTACATGTGAGCCACTGTGTCCAGCCCCTATGGCACTTCTTAATTCTGCCAACATTGTTGGAACCAAACCCCCATATAAAATTCCTTCTGTTTGAAATGCAGTAGTTTTCCTGACTAGGTCTTGGCTGATATGTCTTTCTCTAAAGAAATGTGAGAAAGAAAGCTTGGTCGCAGATCTCCTGAGCTGCCTGCTGTGAAACTGCTCCTTCCCTCTGTGCCGGCTCTGCCATGGCCACGGGGGTTTTCCTCCTGGTCAGTGACCTTAATGCCTGCATTGGAATGCCTTCTTAGAGGTTATGATCCCCATCGGTCTCAAGAGAGGAAGAGGGAGGTAGGCCTCAGTTGCTGCCCTACTGCTTTATTTCCCACATCATTACCCCAGGATAAGTGAATGTACTAGCTCTTCCCAAAGGTTTGGGGAGACAGATGGGTTTAATATCACAGCAATATAAATAACTTGAAACTGCATATCTAACATTCCCATTCCTAAGAGTCTTTTTTTGAAATACACTATTTTTTTAGAACAGTTTTAGATTTATGGAAAAATTGAGAGGATGGCGCAGAGTTCCCGTATAACCCCACACCCATTCTCCCCTCTCGTTAACATCGTGCACTCATGTGGGATTTTCATCATTTCATGTCAAGGATCCACGCTATCAATATGACTTTGTTGATATTAATGAGGTC